TATTTATTTATTTGACAGAGAGAGACACAGCGAGAGAAGGAACACAAGCAGGGGGAGTGGGAGAGGGAGAAGCAGGCTTCCCGTGGAGCAGGGAGCCCGATGAAGGGCTCAGTCCCAGGACCCTGGCATGACCTGAGCCCAACGCAGACGTTTAATGACTGAGCCACCCAGGCGCCCCTATTATCAAATATTTCTGAATGCCTACCATGAATTAGGCAAGATAGACCTGAGGATATAGTGATGAGCCAAAAAGCATTACAGTTTCTGCCCTCATGGCACTTGGTAGAAGAGCCAAATACTAAAAATCACACACACTAAAATTAGAACTCTGGTAGTGCCATCGAGAAAAACTAAGGGTATATTAGGCACCTGTCTTTAGGAACCTGATTCAAGGTTTAACAAATGTTTACTCTTCATTGAACTAAACTATAATTAACTGCTCTCCGGGGACAATAAACTATTTTTTGGGGCAAAATTAAGAACGACAGTGTAATTAACAGTGGTGTAGGTAATTTAAAAATCATTTTTCATTGTCATTGGAAGGCAGTAAGACTCACATCTGTTCAGCTATATGTATGTGTCAAACATTTACACACCATTTTTGCCTAGGACTGGCTCCATCATCCGGTGTTAGAGTACTATGTACACTAATTCGTGGACTAGCCATTTGTGTTTAAGTGAAGTGATAGTTGCCTTTCACACTGAAAGAAGTGTGAAATATGGGAGAATTCTTATTAAAAGGGAGAGGATAAAAGGCATTCAAAGAGATACTAAAAATTTATCCTATTTATGAATTAGAATATTTACTAATTTTCTAGCACTAACTTTTCTTATCGTAGATTTAACTTTAACGGTTAAAATAGTTTCCACTATTATCTGTGTCTTTAAAAGTAAATAAATAGAATTATAAAGTCAATTATTTAGAAAATCAGAATAATGCAATGGGTTGCATTTCACCTTGTTGGCTAGGTCAGCTGTTGCCTGCAGATAACTCATTTATTTGAGATTGCAGTTTCTAGGAATCACTGTCTTGGAATAGATGTACAATATCCATTGTAGCAGGTTAAAACACATTTGTGATTTAATCAGTTATTTAAAAAAATTAATGTAATTTTTTAATTATGACTTAGATAACTTTGAGAAATAGGTATGTTGCCAAGGAGAAATCTGAGGGGAAAAAAAATGTAAGAAAATTAGTTGTAAAATGTGGGATGGTGATCCTCATGACCAAAATATTTTTACCATATTGGATGTTGCTCTCTGCAGATGGCTAAGTCTGGATTGTTTAGTGACTAATTGTCCAGGTTGTGAATTTCCCCTGTCCTACATTGTTTCCTCGTCATCACCATGATGTGTTAGTAACTTTTTTAAGATTTTTTTTTTTTAAGAGCAGTTTTAGGTTCATACCAAAATTGAGAGGAAGATACAGAGGCTTCCCAGATACCTCCTGTTTCCACACATGCTTTGCCTCCCCCAATAGGGGTACCTCCATCAAAGTGGCATGAACCTACATTGACATCATAATCACCCAAATTTCATAGTTTACATTGGGGTTTACTCTTGGTGTTGTACATTCTGTGGGTTTGGATAAATATATAGTGACATATATCAATCATTATAATATCAAACTGAGTATTTTCACTGCCCTGAAAACCCTCTGTACCCTACCTGTTCATCGTCGCCACCCCCCCAACTCCCAGCCACCACTGAACTTTTACCGTTTCCATAGTTTAGCCTTTTCCAGAATGTCATATGGTTGGAATAATACAGTAGGTAGCCACTTCAGAATGGCTTTTTTCACTTAGTAACATGCATTTAAAGTTTCTTCATGTCTTCATGGCTTGGTAGCTCATTTCTTTTTAGTGCTGAGTAATATTTCATTGTTTGAATGTACTACAGTTTATCCATTCACCTCCTGAAGGACATCTTGGTTGCTTCCAAGTTATGGCAGTTAAGAATAAAGCTGCTATTCACATCTGTATCAGGTTTTAGTGTGGACATAACTTTCCAGCTCTTTTGGATAAGTACCAGGGAGTGCAGTTGCTGCATCATACAGTAAGAATGTGTTTAGTTTTGTGAGCAAGTGCCAAGCTGTCTTCCAAAGTGGCTTTACCATTTTGCATTCTCATCAGCAGTGAATGAAAGTTCCTGTCACTCCACATTCTCACAAACTTTGGTGTTGTTTATGTTCTGGATCTTGGCCATCCTAATAGATGTGTAATAGTGTCTCATTGTTCTAATTTGCATTTTTCTGTTGATGTGTTGAGCATCTTGTGCTTCTTTGTTATCTGTATATTTCTTTGGTGAGGTAGCTGTTAAGATTTTAGCCCTTTTTAAAAAAAATTATTAAATTCAATTGAGTTAACATATAGTGTATTATTAGTTTCAGGGTTAGAATTTAGTGATTCATCAGTTGCATATAACACCCAATGCTCATTACATCAAGTGCCCTCCTTAATGCCCATCACCCAATTACCCCATCTCCCCAGCTACCCCCATCCCCTCCAACAACCCTCAGTTTATTTCCTATAGTTAAGAGTCTCTTACAGTTTGCCTCCCTCTCTGTTTTTATCTTATCTTAATTTTCCTTCCCTTCCCCTATGTTCATCTGTTTTGTTTCTTAAATTCCACATATGAGTGAGATCCTATGGTATTTGTCTTTCTCTGACTGACTGACGTCACTTAGCATAATACTGTCTAGTTCCATCCATGTCATTGTATATGGCAAGATTTCATTCTTTTGGATGGCTGAGTAATATTCCTGTGTGTGTGTGTATATGTATATATTACATTTTTATCCATTCATCTGTCAGTGGACATCTGGGCTCTTTTCATATTTTAGCTATTATGGATATTGCTCTATAAACATTGGGGTGCATGTGTCCCTTCGAATCACTCTTTTTGTATCCTTTGGATAAATACCTAGTAGTGCAATTGTGGGCTGTAGGGTAGTTCTCTTTTTAACTTTCTGAGGAACCTCCATACTGTTTTCCAGAGTGGCTGCATCAGTGTGCATTCCCACCAAGAGTGTAAGAGGGTTCCCTTTTTTCCACATCCTTGCCAGCATCTGTTGTTTCCTGCGTGGTTAATTTTAGCCATTCTGACCAGTGTGAGTTGGTATTGTGGTTTTGATTTGTGTTTTCCTGATGAGGATTGATGTTGAGCATTTTGCATGCATCTGTTAGCCATTTGTAGGTCTTTTTTTTTTTTTTTTTTTAGATTTTATTTATTTTTCAACAGAGAGACAGTGAGAGAGGGAACAGAAGCAGGGGGAGTGGGAGAGGGAAAAGCAGGCTTCCCACTGAGCAGGGAGCCCGATGTGGGACTCGATCCCAGGACCCTGGGATCATGACCTGAGCCGAAGGCAGACACTTAATGACTGAGCCAACCAGGTGCCACATTTGTATGTCTTTGGAGAAGTGTCTGTTCATGTCTTCTGCCCATTTCTTGATTGAATTTTTTATTTTTTGGGTTGTTGATTTTGATAAGTTCTTTATAGATTTTGGATACTAGCCCTTTATCTGATAAGACATTTGCAAATATCTTCTTCCATTTCCTAGGTTGCCTTTTAGTTTTGTTGTTTCCTTTGCTGGCAAAAGTTTTTTATCCTGATGAAGTCCCAATAGTTCATTTTTGCTTTTGTTTCCCTTGCCTCTAGAGACGTGTCTAGCAAGAAGTTGCTACAGGATTTTGGCCCATTTTTTAATCAGGTTGTTTGTTTTCTTACTGTTGAATTTTGAGAGTTCTTTGTATATTTTGAGTAACAGTCCTTTATCAGATGTGTCTTTTGCAAATATTTTCTTCCACTTTCTGATACATCATCTCATTTTCTTGACATTGTCTTTCACAGAGCAGAAGTTAAAAAATTTTTTTAGACATTTTAAAATTTAATGAAGTCTAGCTTATAATTACTTCTTTCATAGATCATGCCCAGTGTTGTATCTAAAAAGTCACTGCCATAACAAAGGTAATCTAGATTTTCTTCTGTGTTATCTATGTTATCTTCTAGGAGTTTTATAGTTTAGCATTTTACTTTAGGTCTGTGATCCATTTTGAGTTAATTTTTGTGAACACTGTAAGGTCTGCGTCTAGATTCATTTTTTTGTATGTGAATGTCCAGTATCCAGTATCCTCATCATTTGTTGAAAACACTATCTGAGCTCCATTGTACTGCCTTTGTTCAAAATCAGTTGGGTATATTTATGTTAGTCTGTTTCTGGGCTCTCTATTCTCTTTTGTCTATTTTCATAGTATCAGACTCTTGATTATTGTAGCTTTACAGTAAATCTTGAATTTGGGTTGTATTAGTACTCCAACTTTGTTCTTCCTTAATATTATGTTGGCTATTCTAGGTCTTTTGCCTCTCATATAAACTTTAAAAATCTGTTTGTCAGTATCCACAAAATAACTTGCTGGGGGCTTTATTGGGATTACATTTAATCTATAGGTCAAGTTGGGAAGAACTGACATCTTGATGATTTTGAGTTTTCTTATCCATTAGCGTTAGTAATTGGTAATTTTTACTTGAAGATAGAGTTAAGCTGAAAGACTGATCAGCTATAAATTGCTGTAGCAAAAGATTTGATTATAAAGAACGTTGAAACTGAACTGATGTGAGGCTTAATAATTATCTGTTGATTTTACGTATTTTCTTTTCCTTCATTTTCATGGATAAGATGTTTTATAGCCTTATGTTAAAGAGCTAGAAGATTGTTTATGGTAGGGAGAGAGAATCCCAAGCAGGCTCCACACCCAGTGCGGAGCCTGACGCTCCCACAAACCCAAGATCATGACCTGAGCTGAAATCAAGTCAGATGCTTAATGAGCTGAGCTACCCAGGCACCCCAAAAGATTGTGTTTTCTAATCTCACTTTGGAAATTTTATTTAAATTGACAAATATTTTAAGTTTTAAAATTTCCTGGGCTTCTCCAAAGGGATCTCTAAAAACACTTAAAATAGTGGTTCATAGAATTGGATGTGAACATTGTTAACACATATTGGTTCCCAGGAAACAAGATGCGAATAGAATTTCATCTTTATGGACAGTGTCTCTTTCAACCTTTTATAATTCGCATAACTTGTTCGACTCCTGTATATTAAATCATATTTTAGGATTGTCTACCCTTGGATTATATTTTTTCAGAAAATAAGGAACAGTTATGCAATTCTATATGGCATCTGTCACCATTTTGTCCCAGATAAAACTCTTTTTTAAAAAAACAATTTAATGATGAGTTAATGATGTTATGAAAATTAAACCTTCGTAGTGTCTAGATAGCCACTCTATTTATAAATTTAACAGTATACATACAGAATAATGTATAATTAAAATATTCTTTAAATTTTTTGTACAGCTTTTACCCACCTATTGATGAACCAGCTATTGGAAATAAAAACATTGATCTGTCAGGACGACTTGAAAGAAAGCAAATCTTCAAAGGGAAAACGTTTGTATTTCTAAATGCCAAACAGGTAATCTTATGAGCTAAATTTTCTTAAAACATTATAAACTAGGATAAATTATTACTGTTATCAACAGTTATATTTTTTTTGAGATTTTGTGTAGAAGTGTGAAGTGAAACTATCTAGGCACCAGAACTTGCCTGGTATTCATGTATGTGAGATATTTTTTTTGACATATGTTAATTGGCCAATAAATTAAGTTTATATAAATCTATAAGTGAGGGGTGGGGACAGAAAACTGATTTAAGTCCTTACTTGGTCAGTTAGTAAATAGATGTTGAATGTCTTCTGTGTGCTGAAATGGGGGTTCAGAGAGTTTATGTTGTAGGTGGAAAATGCAAGCAAGCCCACAGTTAGAGCACTGTGAAGTAAGTATGATAAGGAAGTGCAAAGAATGTAACAATTCCAGGGCTGCAGAGATACCTGGTAAACTGGGGATTTTCTGAGTGGAAGCTTGGATTGTCTTCTCAAAAAGTAGAATGAATTCTATTTCAGTTCTACTTTTATTTTACTTCCCTATATAAATGAATGGATAAAGAATATGTGGTATATATACAATAATATTACTCAGCCATAAAAAATAATGAAATATTGCCATTTGCAATGACATGGATGGAGCCTAGAGTATAATGCTAAGCTAAGTAAGTCATTTGGAGAAAGACAAATACCATATGATTTCATTCATGTGCGGAATTTAAGAAACAAAACAAATGAGCAAATAGAACAAAAAGGCAAACCAAGGAACAGATTCTTTTTTTTTTTTAAGATTTATTTATTTAAAGAATTTTATTTTTTATTATTTTTTTAAGATTTTATTTATTTGAGAGAGAATGAGAGACAGCACAAGAGGGAGGAGGGTCAGAGGGAGAAGCAGACTCCCTGCCGAGCAGGGAGCCCGATGCGGGGCTCAATCCTGGGACCCCAGGATCATGACCTGAGCTGAAGGCAGTTGCTTAACCAACTGAGCCACCCAGGTGCCCCCAAGGAACAGATTCTTAACTGTAGACAACAAACTGATGGTTACCAGAGGGGAGGAGGTGGGGTGATGGGTGAAATAGGTGATAGGGACTAAGGAGTGTACTTGTGATGAGCACTGGATGATAGGGAAGTGTTGAATTACCATATTGTACATCTGAACTAATATAACACTGTTAACTATACTGGAATTAAAATAAATTTAAAAGAACGTACTCAAGGAATTGAATGTGGCTATTTCATTATATTTTTTCTATTTCTATTTTTAGCATAAAAAGTTAAGTTCAGCAGTTGTTTTTGGAGGAGGAGATGCTAGGTTGATAACAGAAGAAAATGAAGAAGAAGAAGGTTTCTTTTCAGTCCCTGGAATTTGTGTTGTTGATGTAGGAATAACAAATTCACAGACTCTAATTCCTGACTCTCAGAAAAAATGGATTCACTCAATTATGGATAAGCTCCAAAGGTACAGAATTATCTTTATTAGTAAAAATATAAAAAAGAAAGGCAATTTTGTCTGTAACTTTTTTATTGTACCGAATTAACAAGGTAAAGGATATACAAGAATTACATTTTATCGTGTAAACGTTGCTACTGAGATCATATTTGTATGTTTCCTGGTGGTACTTCTGCAAGGTTTTCTTTGAAGAATATTCTTAGGGTTAGAACTGCTGGGTTATAAGTTATGTGAATACTCAACCTCTGGAGGTAGTATCAAATTGTTTGCCACTTCATACTCCCACCCACAGTATGTAAGAGATCAAGTAGATGCATATTGTTTTCAACACTTGGTATTGTTAGACTTTACCATATTTGCTAATTGAATGGATATATAATCCTATCCCGTGATTTTTGTTTCTATTTTTCTCATCACTAGTGATGCTTAACATTTCTTCTGATATTTATTGGACATCTGTTTTTCCTGTTCTGAAATATCTGCTCATGTCTTTTACCCAGTTTTCTAATTGTATTTTTTTATATGGATTTCCCAGTTTTTGAGTGTGTGTTCTATACAGTTTTATCACTTGGTACATATATTCACCACCTTAGTCAAGATACAGAACAGTTCCATCACCACAAGGATCCCTCCTGTTCTTTTATAACCACACCCACTTCCCTCCCTACCTTTCCCACCTCCCATTCCATGTCCCCAAATCCTGGAAAACCACTTATTTATTCTCCATTTCTAAAATTTTGTCTTTTAAAAACGTGTTGTATAAATGAAATCATGGCATATACACTTAAGGACTGGTTTTCTCATTCAGCACAATTTCTTGGAGATTCATCTAAGTTGTATCAATTGTTCATCCTTTTTAATTCCTCATCAGTATTGTGTATATATATATGTGTATACTGCAGTTTTTGAGTCATTCTTACGTTTTTCCAATTTTTGTTACAAATAAAACCTCTATAAACATGCATGTACAAGTTTCTTTGTGAATGTAAGTTTTCATTTCTTTGGGATAGATGCCCAAGAGTGCAATTCCTGGATCATATGGTAATTATATATTTGTGTATTCTTTTTTATTTGTAGAAGTTCTTTCTCTTTCTCGATATTAATCCTTTTTTCACTTGTGTATATTGCAAAATCTTTTACCACTTCGTAATTAATGTTTTACTGTGTGCTACATGAAAGTCCTTAATTTTAATATACTAAAAATTAACAACCTTTTCTTTCTTAGCAGTGATTTTTGTATTTTAAGAAATCTCTTTCTATTCATAGATCAAAAAGATATTCACCTGTATTTTTTACTAATTTGTTGCTAGTGTTTTGATACTTTGTTTTTGAAATTTGCTTTTAATCTATTTGGAATTGATTCTGTTTTATACCAAAGTCCCATATATGCGTAGGAATGTTTTTGGCTTTTCTCTATTCCATTGGTCAAGATGTCCTTGTACCAATACCACCACATTTACCACATTGTCTTAATTACTGTGACTTCAATTAAGTTCTCATATCTGGTATGGCAAATGTCTCTGCTCTTCTTTAGAAGCATCCTGTCCATTCTTGGCTCTTTGTTTTTCCATATACATTTTAGAATCCTCTTTTCAAAAACGCTGTTGGGATTTTGATTAGGAATTCCATTGAATTCACAAATCAATTTGGTGAGAATTTTTACAATTTCCCTATAAAGATCTTGAGTACCTTTTATTAGATTTATTCCTAGGTACTACATATTCTGTGGTAGATATGATATGTCTGATAGGTAGAATATAAATAAATAATATTCTCTCTTTAAGTACATTTTCTAGTTGTTTATTGCTGGTGTATATAAATTCAGTAGACATTTAGATATTAATCTTATATCCTGCCACCTTGTTAGACTCCCCTTTTATTTCTAATGTATCTATAGTCCTTTTTGTTGTAAAAATCATATTATCTATAAAAATGTTTCCTGTTTTTTTAATCCTTATGCTTCTGATGCTTCTCCTTTTTCTCTCTTTCTGTTTTGTACCTACTGGGACATGTAGAGCAGTGTTGTATAGAGGAAGTATTAGCCACATTTATCTCACTGTTGACTAAAAGGATGTGTTTCCCCATTTAGGATGTTTCCCCATTTAGGATAATGTAATTACCTGTATAACATTATTATTAATTATATATTAAAAATGTTTTTATTTTATGGAGCCAACGTTTCTAACTAATTTATGTAATATATTTACAGTTTCAAAAAAGTAAGATAATAAAACAATTCTGAATTGCCTGACTTATAAGTAGTTATATGTGATCACTTGATTATAATACTTTAAAAATATTCATATAGTGCTATCATAATTGCACATATAATTGAGTTCTGTTACATTAACCCAGGACATACAAAAAACAAATGTTAAGCATTTGAAAAATACCTTTTAAACTACTTACCTTTTAACTACCTACCTTTAACTAAATACCTTTTAAGCCACTTAAAACATATTTGCAATAAATATTAAAAGGAGTTTTGTAGTTCTTAAAGTCTGAGGTATAGTTTTATAAAGCAGTGTTATTAAATTGTCTTTGTTTCAGTCACATAATAGAAAACAGAATGTAGGTTCACTATAAGATTCCTTTAAGAAGATTCCTTAATGCATGTAAATTTGGTAAAATGATCTTATTTACTAAACTTAAAATTACAAAACGTGTAGATACAGCTTATGATATTTCTTTGTACTTCCTCCCTCCTTCCCTTTCTCCCCTCTTCTGTCTCTCTTTTAAGTTTTATCTCTGGATCCTAGTAATAGATGTGCTTATAAAAATTTGTTTTATTGTTTCATCTGGTATTACTGTTCTTATTCTGAAAATTACAGAATTTCAGAAATGGAATTTCTGACTCAGAGCTGTCTCCCTTAGGCCTTTATTTTACAGATGAGATGACTGAATTGCTAAAGGTGGTGGGCTTGCCCGATATAACATTGCCCCAGTTGAGTAAGCCAGTACTGTGTGTATTTGAAATTCTCTCCATACCATAAAATTGTGTTACCTCTTTGGGGAAGGAATAAAAAGATTCCACTCGACATCACATTAATAGAAGTTGTTAGTTTTAATATATTATCATGCTTAAACTATTTTATTCTCATAGGCAGGGGCTTAGACCTATTCCTGAAGCAGAAATTGGACTGGCGGTCATTTTCATGACTACAGAGAATTACTGTGATCCTCAAGGCCAGCCCAGTACAGGTAATTAAAGCATTATTTTATTGGTTCTTTAGCAACTTTATGTGTAACTTGGTGATAGGCTGTATGCACATTACTTTGTACTTGCTAGGGATGACCATTTTCACCATCTCCTAAAACTCATCTGTTTACCATTTCATTTATTTATTTGATGAATATTTGTGGCTGCCATGTACTACTGGGTACTGCTTCTAAAGAAGTGCTGAAGATACACTTGGTGAATAAAGTAAAACATTTTTAGGTATCTGTTACTGTGAACTTTATATTCTAAAGGTCAGGCTTCAAACAGTTAACAGGCAAACAGATATATCTGATCAGTTCAGTTAAAGTCAAGCACCAAGAAAAAGCTAAAACAAGACCTGAAATTTTCCTTGTGCAGCTTCTGCTCAGGAGGTCTGCTGCCATCCGTTCTCACAGCCACTGCCCCACTTCTTGAACTTTCCATTGTCTTCCTTTCGTGAGGGCTGTTAAAATTGCACCCAGTAATGGTCCTGCCTCCATACTCATCTCTACAGTTAACATTTCACTTTGCCAGTAGAATCACCTTTTCTTAAAACTTTTTACTAGCTCATTATTTATAAAATAAAACCCTAAGCCCTTCGTCTAGAGTTCTGAGCCCTCAACAGTTTAGCCTTTCTCCTCCCATCTTTTTTTTTTTAATACATCTCTACAGTTTATATGGGCCATATTATTTATAATTTCCACACTCCTCGATCTTGCTCATCATGGTCCCTGTTCCAACACTGCTTTTCAAAATTTGACTCATTTGGCAGATGTTCACCTCCTTCATGAAGTTTTTCTAAGTTGTTTTCTTTCCCGTAACTCTCCTCCAAGTCAGAATTGTTCTGTTTTCTATTCCCCAGTAACTTTCTTTTGCATTCTAGCTAGACTTTCTTCCTACTTTGAAATATAACCAGTTGTTTCCATGCTGAGCCACTAAATTGGTTATAAGCTCTAATTAATTTTGGATTCCCTGACAGCACCAAGCACAGTACTTGTTTGTACTAGGTATGAATATTTGCTTAATTGAACTAAATTATTGGCACACAGGATTATCTTTGCCAGTGTGGAGCAACAATGTTTTATCATCCACTGTTGGAAATGTGTTCATGGCCAAAAGGGCCTTAGAGATCATCTAATCTGTCTTTCTGTTAAAAGGTAAGCGAGCTTGTAAGGCTGAGAACAGTTAAGATTCCATAAATAATTCATGGCCAAGCCAATCCTAAAATTTGGGTTTTCTGAACACTTAGACCAATACCTTTTCTGTTGTATCATTTCATACAGAAACAGAGTCATAAGGAGTAAAAATCAACATTTTAATTAGTAGTGTTACTTCTTGCACATACTCATAGGTGGGTCTGTGTAGACTCCCAAGTCCTAGACATCTGACTTATAAACAATTTTAGAATACAACCCTTTGGGAGGGAATAGAATAAATGCATGTGTCTCTCCCTCCTTTTCCCCCCTCCTTATTTTCTTCCATTCATGTTTGTTTATTTATGAATTCAGCAAGCATTTATTGAACATCTGTTATATACCTGTAATTATTCTAAATACTTGGAATAAACAGGTGAGCAAATCAAAGCCCTACCCCTGCAGTATTTTTAGCAAGGAGAACATTGTAAATCTTTTGTTGACAAACATCCCTTATTCTGGATCATTAGATTCAACTTATAGTTTCTTTTAGTGATAATATAAGCATTTGTAATTACTATTTTTTGCAAACTTCCGTGCAAGCTGAAATGAATTCTAGGGATATGCATGTTTAAGGAAATGACAGTGAGCTTCTATGGGGGTCATATAAGGGAAGTGGCAAGAATTTGGAATCAGTAATAAACATTTACTAAGCACATCCTATGTCATGAGGACCTAACAAGTGATGATTTAGCTTAGATACTTGGTAGATGTCAACGTTTTAAAATTTTCAGTTAATGATTTAATTCCATTAACTTATTTATATCTATAATGTTCCAAACATTGCTCAGGGACTGCAGATTTAGAAGTGAACAACAACCAGTTCCTATTCTCAAGGAGATTCTAAGTCTAATAAGGGAACGTAACAAGTAAACAAGTATAGTGTAAAGTGATGATGACGATAACAGCTAATATTTGCATTGTACTTATTGTGTTCCAAGCATTTTTCTAAGTGCTATCCATGTATCAGTTCATTTTGTCCTCAAAACAAAATGGGTCCTGATTTAATGGATGAGGAAACTAAGGCACAGAGAGGTTAAATAACACATACAGCTAATGATTAGTGTGTTAAAAGTTAGCAGAGTGATGTAAAGGGTGGTATGGAAGCTGAAATGAAGGATACCCCATTCAGTGTGGGAGATTCAAGGAATGTATGCCAGAAGAGTGACACTTGAATTAAGTTGCTGTTCTAGTAAATTAAAAGATGAAGTAATCATGGTTTTCTGGAGTGGCCACAAAATTTATGCCTAAAGCTATTTATGTCTTCTTTTCAAATAGTATTCCTTCAGAAGGTGAAATTCACATTAGTTTTGATTTATGTCAGCAGTAGAGTTGATTTTCTGCGGGGAAGAAATGCAATTTTTTTGTCTCCTAATTTAAACCATAAACTGAATTATAACTTAAGTTGATTTTATTTTTAAATTGGTAATACTTCACAAAAGATTTGATGTAGCTTTAAAATGATTTGATTTAGATGAGCCCATTACAGATGCCAGCAGGCTGCTTTTAGGCTATTTCATTAAATGTTTGTTGGTTCCACTGAGTGAAGATAACTGTGTTCTATGTTGCCTACTTAATTCCCTCAGCATGGTATAGTCTAGCCATTTTAAGTGACAAAATGTCCATCTTGTGTCTAGCAGTTGTGATTCTTCCCTTCACTTGTGTGATTTACAGCATTGAAGATGACTCCAGGGCCAAGCCTTTCCCAAGGCTTATCATTCAATGAAAAGCTAATGCCAAGTGCCCCCGTGAATACCACAACATATGTAGCTGACACGGAATCAGAGCAAGCAGATACATGGTAAAGCTTCATTGTTGACAAACTATTGTTATTCTATCAATAAATAGTATATTCAAGAAGTAAAGTCGTGTCTTTATCAGATCAACTCTTAGGAGATAAAGCATGGGAGAATGGGATGCCAGGGAAAATAATATATTAGGTTAAGGATTAGTAAAAATTCCATAAAAGACCAGTAAATATTTTTGGCTTTGTGAGTCATTGATCTCTGTCCCAGCTACTCAACTTTGCCATTGTAGCATGAAAGCAGCCATAGACAGCATGTAAATGAATGTGTGTGGCTTTGTTCCAATAAAACTTAATTTATGAAAACAAGTGGCAAGCCAGATTTGGCCTGTAAGCCATAGTTTGCTAACCCCCGTCTTATGGTAAAGTTTTTTGGTTGTTGTTCCTTACAAATGTACATGGAAAACTGTAAAGAATTACATTACTTTATTTGTGACTGTTGAAACAAGTTCGAAATAAATTTGTACTATAATGTTTCCTTCATCTGAATATTATTTTAACTTTGGAGATACTTTCTGTGTGTCTACCTGGCTATCTAAATAATTAATATCTTTATAAAGATAGTTTTCTAGTGGTTCTCTATTTGAAGAGGTTTTTTGTTCTTTGGGGGGGCGTTTTGAGCAAGGGTAGATCATTTGTATTCTGTGGTATTTTTCATTTAAGAGAGTGTATTGTATTTTAAATAATACATAATGAATTACTGATACTGAAAAATACTTGTGATATCACTGTATTAGATCATATTTAAATTTTTAATACATCCTTTTTTTTATACTGAGGCTAGATGTAAGTTTTTAAAGAAACTTAATGTTTTGAAAGTCATGTGTATGACCACTTGTTTTTTGTGCAATAAGAATATTAAAGGCAGTTTATTTAACCATACATTGTGAAACTGTGTGTGTGTTTTAAATATTTTTCTGGTAGTATAGAGTTATACTGTATTCTAGGGACTGCCATCTGGCTGAAATGTAACCATATCAATTCATCTGAATCTAAATTCATCTCATTTAGATCTAAATGGGATCTAAATATGTCATTATGATGCTGGAATTATAGGAGATTGTTGTTTTTCTGATCTTCCTTTTTTAATTAATTTTTTGCCTGAAAATAATTCTAAAATTTTAAACAAAGCAAAAATTATCTAAGATTATCACCTACTTTAATTTATAATAGAATACTAGGTTGATATTCCATGTTTGTATGACAGTTTGTTATAGTAGAGTATGCTAGACATTGTGTGCTATAGGGAATGAAGAAGAGAAAGTTATCATTTGTCTTTAGGGAACTTTGATGAAAAAGGAGCAACTTTTTTGGAATAGTGAAATATATTCCCTTAATTATTGTCTAAAGATAATTATGTTCTAAAGCTGTATCACATTAGTACTGTTTAGAAGACTTTTTTTTCTAGATAAAAATTGCTATAAGTCTGATTGTTTATGTTGTATTCTTTTCTTTTGTTACAGTATGGATTTTAGTGAAAAACCTAAAGAAATCAAAATCTCCAGAGTGGAACAAAAATTCAGAATGCCTTCACAAGAAACATCCACTGTGAAGGAACCCCCCAAAATAAGCTCTAATGATAAAAATGCAGTATCAAATACTCTGGAAAGGATGAAAATCCCAACCTATCAGCTTTCACCAACTAAATTCTCAGGTGTAAATAAAAGTAGAGATCAGCCTTCTCAGAAGCTGCAGACCAGCTCCATCAAAAACTACTTTCAGCCTTCTACCAAAAAAAGGTATATTTTTAAATAATACCTCTCTGTGTCTCTGAAAAATATTAATAGAATGGCATTTAGTCTGTGTTCTGCTTGAAAATGCTTCTGTAGAAAACTGACCCTTTGACCTCATTCCCTCTCAAAAATGTCCGTATCTCCTTCTTCACTAAGGTCATTATGGATAGATTCTCCCTCGTCCCTTTTTTTTGTGGGTACCTTAAGCTTATCTGTTGTTTCACTTTGCTGCACTCCTTTTGAAGAAGTCTGTCCAGTACCCTGATAGTAGATTAGTATTATTAAAATACCACCTTGACTATTCCAGTTTAACATGAATTTGGTAAACTTATAGGAAGCAGAGATCCATATTTTTATGTTCTCTGTGGACCTTAGTGCAATTTAAATGAATAAAGTACTTATCCAGTACTTAATGAATGAAACAATATTGTACAGAAAACTCTTAGTCATATATTCACATATTATTTGCAATTTATAGTCTGTACTGTATTCTCGATTTAGCCACTCTGACTTATTATCTTGAATCTAGCTCTCACTAACCCATCAGGTTTTATTCCAAAGGTAATTTTTCCCTTCCTCCAAGTTCCCTACATTGTAAGGTAAGCTATTGTTCCTGGCAACAAGTGCTTTGTATCTTTATATCTTTCTACCTTTTCCTCTGCATTGACTTATCAGCTACTGCTGCCTTAGCAGAGAAGATAAACCTCTCCCTATTGTTTTAGCCATTGGGTTGACAGTCCTACGAAAAGTGTCCATATGAATTGTGCTTTTTTTCAGATGTCCCATTTTTTTATTTCCAGTGATATTAATTAATAAAATTAAGAATGTTGTGAATTAAATGGAATGAATATTGCCAAACCAAAAAATTACTTAGCTGTGTTCATTTTCTGTTTTTGCTTTCTTCTCTCCTTTTTTAAATCTAAGGGAAAGAGATGATGAAAATCAAGAAATTTCTTCACCCAAATCAGCAAGAGTAGAAATGTCTTGTTCTCTTTTGGAACAAACACAACCTTCTACACCCTCAGTATGGAAAAATAAGGAGGAGCATCTATCTCAGAATAAGCCTGTGGAAAAGAAACCAGATAATTTACTTACAGATAGAGATTTAAAATCCACTGTGAAAAATTTTGCCAATGAATCTCTTCCTACAGAAAAACTAAGATCAGAAAAAAGAAAAGAAACTGATGACTTAGCCATAGAAGATGAAGTATTAGATCAGTTATTTAAGAACACAAAACCAGAGTTAGAAATTGGAGTGAAAGTTCAAAAACAAGAGGAAGATGTCAATGTTAGAAAAAGGCCAAGATTGGATATAGAAACAAAGGGCACTTTTAATGATGAAGCAACTTTGGAAAGTAACAGAGTATCTGTAAGTAACATTTTTTAATGAGAAGTACTACAGATAGAAACTTAGAATGTTAAAAAGAAACTTGTGATAGTATAAGCATTCACTCTTATTTCCTTGAGGAAAAAGTATCTTCAAAACCCAGTATTAAGTATAAGAATTTGTTGGTTGATAAGGTAAATATTAAAAATACAATGTTTCTCTGATAGTATATAATAAATGACAGCAAATAAAACTGTTATTCATGATTATTTTAATAGATTTCCAGGCTGTACTATTACTATACTACTATATCAGACCTTTGGCCTTGATGATAGGTAGAGGAGATGACTTAATAGAGGAAACAGACACAGAAAAATGAAGAAAGTTAGTAAACTACTAAATAAATTTTTAGATAAAATAGTTATAACATCACTAAGGATTTTTATTTTCATTTTGATCTTTAATATCCTATCCTATTTTCCTGAATGTTGATAATTTGTCTTACCACTTCAGATTATTTCCAATTATATGTGTAAGTAAGTTGCCTACTATCTGTAGAATAGTTAGAGGTCATTAGGTGAGAGCACTGACCACATGAAGTTAAAAGGTAATATTCTGATCTTTCATATAGGACCGTTAGCTCCAATCTCACTCATGGTTGTGGTCATCCCTTCCTATAAATGGCTACTGCATAAGGATAGGACTAAGTAAAAGGATAAGGATTAAGTGATTGGAAGGTACAGTGACTCAGTAGGTATTTGTTGAGAACCTAGTGTGTATCAAGCACTATAAATCTATAACTACTGTTGAAAAAACAAAGTATATGTCCTGTGTAGTCAAAATATTGGCATCTTCATATGAAGGAGAGAATCCTCATTATTTCTTTTGAGTGAATCCTAAATGCCCTTCTGTGGACCAGCTGTGTCAGAATTAGCTGGTGAGCTTTTTTAAAAGTAGGGATACCCAGACCAAAACCCCAGAAGATCCTGATGGAATACATCCGGTTTTTTTTCCCAAAAAAAGTTTCCTCATTTTATGAGTTAAGAATTCCTTTTGCTGTCTTTAAAAATTCTAAAATCAGGTGCCTGGGTGGCTCAGTCGTTAAGCGTCTGCCTTCGGCTCCCGTCATGGTCCCAGGGTCCTGGGATCGAGCCCCGCATCGAGCCCTGCATTGGGCTCCCTGCTCAGCAGGAAGACTGCTTCTCCCTCTCACACTCCTGCTTGTGACCCCTCTCTCACTGTCTCTCTGTCAAATAAATAAAATCTTAAAAAAAAAAAAAAAAGAATCTTATCCAGCAACAGGACGGAATCTTCAGGCTGATTTAATAACAATTAACCTGTGATTAAAAAGTGGCTTTCAGTTAGTGAGGTCGTATATCCAGAATTAATAATTTTTTGGAGGTGTCAAAATAATAAAATTACTGAAAATCCAAGAAAGCTTAAACATATTAGATGAGAACTTGTAGAACAGATTGTTGTAATAATGTTAGTTATGGTTTTAATGAAAAGAAGTAGACAATACTGAGATTTCTTGCTAAGAAAATATATACAAGAAGATAAATTAATTGAGATATTTATTAGAATAGACTACTAAATTAAAATGCTATATGCTTTTAGTCTTCTGGCATAGATGTTATAAATGTTTCTAAGGTTGTGGAGTATTTGAGTAATTTTCTCGTTTGAAGTAGATATGATTTGATGCCAAATACAAAGTTTGGGTGCCAGAAATAAACCTTTTTTTACAATTTTTTTCAGGTATTTGAACTTTTTTCTATAGCTTCCCAAATGAGAAGTAATTTTCTTTTTCCTTATTTTTTTCTGCTTATGTATCCATCTTAACCCCATTTAAGATCAAAGATGAACTTCAGGAGGATGATGATATGCTTCCAAGGAAGGTGTTACTAACTGAATTTAGATCACTGGTGGTTAGTAACTCTGCCTCCAGAAATACATCCACTGTAAATAGTGATTATGGTCAACTAAAGAATTACAAGAAATTCAAAAAGGTATGGTATTCCTTTAACTAAAATATCACAAGAGGGCAGTGTTTGAAATGTTTTTAGAAATACCACTGATGCTAAATAGTAAAAGCCGTTCATACTGAAAACTGATGTTATTTTTTCTGCTTAAAACAGTTAAAATTACTCTAGGAAGGACATGAACTGACAGATAATGAATATATGAATAAATGTATGATGACTATATAATGAATACTTGGAAACAAACTTCTTTAAGACTGAATTCCTTAAAGGGTGCTGTTTACCCTCGTCTTCTCCACCTTGAGCGGCAGGCTTTGGGTTATATTGATAGGGTCTTTTACCTCTAATAATCATCTATGTCTACCTGAAGGGGTTCTTTAGCTCAGGACTTTATGAAGATAATAGATTTGTGGAAAATAGCTGAGCACATTAAATAATGAAAAGTAGGCACTTTACTATTACATGTATATATAAAAAATATAAATATGTACCCTAAATAATATCATCAGACCTGAGTTTCTTCTGCTCTAGGAACTGGTAAGATGTTTAATTTATCAGTATGGTTAAAAGAATATTTCTGATCTAGTCTGTATTCTTTTGTTGTCTTTCCTGGAATATTTGCTTCTTATTCCATGTCTATTACTGACTGCCACCTTTTGCTTAAACATTTAATCAGAATATAGGTGATTTCTGTGGAATACTCCTTTTCACTAGAATATGATGTGTATGATTCTTGCTATACTATGAGGTGTTGTAGCTTTTTCTCTCTAATGTGAGCTACTATTAACATTTGTCAGTTAATTTTTTGCCTACTATGACAATGTGTAAAAGGTTCTAAACTCCGTTTCTTGTACTTAGATGGAAATATCTCCCACTTAGATGGTACCCACTTTCTCCTTTCCATCCCACAGGTGTGGCTCATGAATACCACAGGATCATTCTTAACTGTATGGTTACTTCATGTTCAGTATCATGTTACCAAGTCTCATTGTTAAATCAAAATTCAAAAGACATTGTATTTTTTTGTTATTAATGAAGTTACCAAAGATTAAAGTAGTAATACTCACTGTTGACCCAGGCATGGTGAAGTATAGAGTAGTACAAACTTCGGGAAAGTAGTTTGGAAAAATTTTAAACTCTTAAAAATATTAGTATCTTTGACTACGGAATTTTTTTGAGACTGTAAAAGAAATTCAAACCAAAATTTGTATAGCAGGATGATTTAACTAGATTGGCTCTAATGAAAGAATTTGTGTTTTTCTTTTTATGCCCAAATCCAATGACATGGCTCTATTTGTGCTTTTTAAAATAGTGTTTAATGATGAAAACTATTTTAGAATTCCCTTTCCAGGGCACCTGGGTGGCTCAGTTGGTTAAGTGTCTACCTTCCGCTCAGGTCATGATTCCAAGGGTCCTGGGATCTAGCCTCACACTGGGCTCCCTCTGTCCCTCCCCCTGCTTGTGTGTGGGTGCGCTCGCTCGCTCTCTCTCTAATAAATATTAAGTTAAAAATCTTAAAATAAAATTCCCTTTCCACTTCATATATTGAAATTCTGAAGGTATGTCCCATAGATATTAAGGATTTATTATTTCCTAAATACAGTATTAGCAGTGTGCTTCATTTGCATTTTCACAATATTTTTAGCACCTCTTTATTTAAAATAAGCCATTAAAATTTTAATTAAAAATATGAATTGTTGCTATCTCCAACATCTTTTGCTAGAGATCTATAAATTAGAAAGTTTTGAAGATGTAAATTTTCATGAGTACTAGACAAGGCTTAAACTTCGAAATCTTTAGAACAAAATATGATACTTTATAGTCTCTATATTCACCTTAAGTCGCTTTTAACTGCTAAATGATGAGCTAAGGCCATTTTTTAATAAAAATTCCCAGTTAAGAATCTTAATTAAATTCTTGGTACATAAATCCCAGTGACATCTAAATCTGGGTATAGCAATAACCAAAAAAAATAGGGCAAAAACATGGGTCTAGCATAGTTAACTTCTCTCTCACTCACTTTCATTTGTAGGATATAAACATATTTGGCACTTACGTTACACATGATTTATACTGTGCTTTCTTATTAAACTTTTTAAAAAATAATGGTTTTGAGGGTGCCTGGGTGGCTTAGTTGGTTAGGCGTCTGACTCTTGATTTCAACTCAAGCCATGATCTCAGGGTTGTGAGATTGAGCTCTGCGTTGGGTTCTGCCTTGGTGGCAAGTCTGCTTGAGATTCTCTCTCTCCCTCTCCCCCTGCAACCCCCCACCCCTTGTTCACACACACTCTCTCTCAAAAAAAAAAAAAAGAAAAAAAATGAGATGGTCTTAATTTGTTAATGCATTTAACCTTACTATTTTTACTATATAACAGGTCACATTTCTTGGAGCAGGAAAACTTCCACATATCATTGGAGGATCAGATCTAATAGCTCATCGTGCTCAGAAGAATACAGAATTAGAAGAATGGTTAAGGCAGGAAATGGAGGTTAGTAGGGAGTGAGGCCTGGTAATTTGCTTGGTTTACATTTTGGTCCCTCATGGTTTCCTTAGAGCAAATCCTTAAAACCAAATGTTAAGATAATTGACCTAAGGTCATTCATTCAGGAAGATTCCTAAGTTATAGAGCATTAAGATTAATTTGTACCTTTCCATAATGCTTCTTTAAGAGACTTTTAGACTTATTAGTTAAAAAAACAAATGAATTGGGGCGCCTGGGTGGCTCAGTTGTTAAGCATCTGCCTTCGGCTCAGTCATGATCCCAGGGTCCTGGGATCGAGCCCCACATCGGGCTCCCTGCTCCGCGGGAAGCCTGCTTCTCCCTCTCCCACTCCCCCTGCT